GAACTTGTATTTTAATGGGATATAAGAAATATTTAGTCAAATAAGGTCTTCTCTAATGGTAGAACTTAATTTTAGTGAGCAGTTGAGGGATAATTTTTGAAGCGGAGATATTCTTATTGGGATCTTTGAAATTATAAATGTAAGTGATTACTCACTTGACCCACATGGAAAGTCAGTCTTATCCATGTCCTACTGTTGGTCCCCCTCCTTACAAAAGAGAAAGCTGGGAAGACTATTGCTTGCCTGTGGGTAGAATGACTGCTGCGATCCAGGTATTCTTGGTTCTTTGTCATCATTGAATGCTTAAGTGGAACTTGCTAGTGAACGTGCAGATAGAATGTTTGCAGCAAATTCAAGTCCCATAGTCATAAAGGCTTGCATTGCAGGCCTTTACCTTTTTTTTTTTTTTTTTTAAGTCAGTGGACAAATATTGATTGAGTAACATTTCAGCTGTCTCCTCAAAGACATTTTGACCCTTTTGGTTCCATTTTCTTTGTTAGTGTGTCCTGGAACAGTGTCCTGTGTACGTAGCAGAACCTGTGGCAGCTTTCTGTAGAAGGAAGTATGTGTGGATGGTGTGCAGCCTCCCATGCTTAGAAAGGCTGTATGCTTTAAGGTGTAGTGGTCAAGAGCTTGGGCTTGGCAGCAGATGGCCTGGTCTTCATCTAGGCTTTGGTATGTATTGGCTGTGTTATCTGGAGCAAATTACTTACCTTCTCAACCTCGCTTTCCCTGTCTGCACAGTGGGGATAATGTTAGTACCTGCCTGTGGTTAGTGGTTGTGATTAAGATTAAATGATGGATTTAAAGAATTTTGCATTGTGCCTGGCACCTACTAAATACTGAATAAGGCTAGCTACAATTATTTTCTTTTTGGATCAGTGATTCAAATTTTCTCCGACTATCCTTAAATGTTCATGTTTAGAACACAGGAAATTGTACAGAAGCATCTATAGAACTTGATGGAAACTTTTAAATTGGACTTCCCTAGAGCTTTTGGAATTGAATTATTCCAAAAAAGAGCTGATAAGAAAGCACACTTTAACTATAGTTTCTTGCCTGCCTTCCAGACCACATCTTCATTTTGTTCTTAAGTATAGCTGCTCCAACAAATAGTTTGACCTAGTGCCGCCCATGCCATAGCTCTAATTTATGGTAGGGAGAACTCGCAGGAGTCACTTCAGACTAACTTGTAACTTGCTTCAAATATGATTCAAGTCTTGAAATGAGTATCTGCACATGTACATTCTAGGAATTATTGGAGGAGAGAAATGTCACTAGCAAATATTTTCAGATTTCCCCCTTTAGTCTTGGATTCCCATGAAAACTACAAAGGGATGATAAATCTACAGTTTAATCACTTGGGGTCCATTAAGGCCCTTCTGATTGTCTTTGGGCTCTGTCACTTAAACTAGTATGCAAATTCATAGCCAATCCAAATGCCCCGAGAATGCCACTGGCCAATGGCCATCCTTATTTTTAATAGTCATCAAATAGTGCACTTCCTCAAACAACTTCAGCAAGGCATTCCAGAAATGCTTGACATCATACTTCTCTGCACTGTGCAAACACAATTTTGATTTCATCTCAGAGTAATTAATCTGAACTTCTCCTTCTGGGATGTAAAATAGAATAATTTTCTATAGTTCTTCGAACATTAGATTGGAAAGAAAATGCCCTAAACATCTTGCTTAATTAAATCCTAAAGAGGTAGTACAAACTTCATGATTAATTGAAACATGCATATTTTTACTGATGCATATTTATGTGACATTATCATATGAAAATTTTTATCATGTTATACAAACTATTCAATTTGGGAATGTGATTTAATACTATAAATATTTTGCATTTGTTGTTGCATTGTTCATTATGAAAAATACATGGGCTAATAGCAGTAAGGAAAAATATGTTCCATGAGTCTTTTTTGAGGTAATCTCAAGTCTCAAAATCTCACAGACCTTGAACCTAAATATAAGACAGCGTATCAGGTTTTCCCTAGTTTGAAGAAATACGTTTTAAATAAAGAAATTTGAATCAGATCAAATTAAAAAAGCTGAAGTGCTGGGGCCTTCTATTTTGCCAATATAAGGCATGTACATAAGTTCCAGGTTTCAGCACTAAAGAAAAGCTCACTTTTCTAGGGGTGCAGTCATCCTGCTTAAGGTGGGACACCATCTCATGTCTGGTGGCAGAATCTTGAGTTATGCTTTCACTGACAAAATTAATGTATATAATTGAAGATCTTTCTTAGTTTCCTAAATATACTATTAATAAAACTGACTTCTATTAAGACTAGAATACCTAAGACATGTAAAAATGTTTTCTTGAACTTGTGGAATAATCCATTTATCAGACTCTTCTCTGGAGCATTAGCTATTGATAACAGTTTGATGACAGAAAAAGAGAAATCTCATGGAAGTTTTCCAAAATGTTTGCCTTTATGAAGTGGAGTTTTATGAAAAAACGGATGGGAATACTGAATTATTTAACAAGACAGATGCTAACCATTTCCAATTTTCAGATACACATTTTTTTTTGTTTCATCTTCTCTTGTTGTTACTTCATAGTACAAATGATTTATAAAAATAATCTGCTTTAAAATTCTACTTTTTGTCCATTTGTTAGGTCTATTGTTTGTAGGGAAGTATCCTTGCCTCCCTTAAAAAGTGACAAATGGTCTGTCTGGTATTGATGGAGGAAGCATGAGGAAGACCCACCAGTGGCCTTTTTGTTCCAAATGTCATTCCTCTGGGCAGGCAATCGCAGGCCAATCACCACCCGTTACAGCTTTGTGCTCTGTTCTCTGTCATCTCAGTTTTAGATAATTTAAATGAAGGAAACGATGAGGGAAACCTAATGTATGTCCTAAAGTTCCTCCTTGAATGCCGAGGCCAAATAATTTCTCGCATAAAGTATTTTTCCTTACAGATTTCACCAGAATCAAGGTTATTGCCGACGGATCATTTGTGAGAGAGAGTTCTGCTGTACCATCTTCTTTTTTTCAGGAATTTAAGATTATAAAGCAGCTAATAGCTTGGGAAAATAAGAAACTATTAGTGCTAGTGAGTTTAGTAATGATAGATGGTTATTTAAAAGGTATAACATTTCTAATCTAATTTAAAAAACCCTCTGTACTATAAGGTAAATTATAGAGTTTTGTTATTTCTTCATACATGTACAATGTCTAAAGACAGATGCCATATTAGAGGTGATATAAAACACAAAGCTTTCTTTGAATAGAACAAATTATTAAATACAGTAATTGTATAATATTTGAACTCACGTTGACTCCATTTAAAGAAACTTATGTTATAAAAAATGTTTGATTAACATCAAAGGTCATTGTTACACTGTCTCATTTATTATTAATTGTAATAAATCACAATATGTAATTATAAAATAAAGTGGTGATTAAAATGACAATATTCCATTAAAGTAAATAAAATGCTGCACATGGTTCTGAGTGGTGATCCTCAGGGAAAAAAGCTGTATCACTGCACTTCAAATTAGTTTGCTTCTAATTTTGCAGGCTGATGACCACACTGCCTCAAACCAAATCTTTCCCCTGGAAATGGAATGATTGCATGACAGGTTCTGTGAACCATGAATATGTCAACAGCTCATGGACCAGGCCTTGCTTAGCAATTAGTCTTTGGGGGATTTTACTCAGAATCAGACAACACTATATCAGAGCTTGTTGGGGATTTTGTGATTACCCTTCAGGTCTGGAGCATGAGTCTGGGTTAATAATTAAAAAAATATATCCATAAAGAGATGTGGCTAATAGTGGCAACCAGTCAGACACACTTTGTCATTTGGGAGGACCAAGGAAACTAGAGATATAGCCAGAGCACACAGGAAATGGCAAGGGAATATTTCTCAGACCTGTACTTAAGATCTATGCTTAGTCACCCACCAAAGTTTCCCAGACTTCAGTCATTTGAATATCACCATCCCATGTTTGTCTTAACATCTTGCTACCTGCACTGTAATTACTATTACATTTCATTTACTGGCTCACGTTAAAAGTCTTTGTTTGTTTTAAGCCGTAGTATTTGTGATGTCATGGACTTGTACTACTTAAATTTGTTTCCTTTTCTTACAAAGGAAAAGAAATACAGCATTTAAAAATATTTGCAAACCACCTCACATCATTCTGAGTATCTCCATGACACGGGTGACAGGTCCCCCTGGAGCTGTGAGGACCACCCGCCTGGCCAAGAGTGATCTGGGCAGCTGTGTGAGCTCAGGGCTCATGGCTGACACCCCATGACTATCCCTCCATCCAGGGACCATGAGTCACACACATCTCACAGAGGAGAATTTCAATCAGGCCTGTGCCTGCCTGTCTGGGACCCCATGTGGGAAGGCTGCATCACAGGAGACCACCGAGTGAGCAGGGCCACTGCCTTTCTACCAGCAGAATCTGGCCACTCACATCTCTCTGTTGTTGACTAACCATACCATTTGGGAATCACTGTATTGCAAAAGTAAACAATAGTACTCCATATGTAACATGTGATAGGGAACATGCCAAGATTGGTCCTGGCTCCTGACTGTCAAGGTTCACATTAGGACATCACACATGTGGGTGTGGTGTCCTCCCCCATATGCAGATCCCATAGGCTGTCAGTGGCACCTTTGAAGAAATGGCCCATTCTATAAGCTTCATTAGTACTGAGCCTGCTATAACCAGGCAGAATAAGCATTTTCACCACGCTAAGCAGCCCCGGGAACTCTCATGGCTCTGTAGCCATGATCTGGTTTTTAAGTAAGTGATGTTTTTGGAAACTTAAAAGCCAACAGGGAAAAAAAAAAAAAAAAAAAAAAAGCACTGAGTCCTCCCCCAAGAGCTGGCTATTCTCCTAGGTCAGAACACGGTGAGATGCGGAGATTGAAATCAGGCCTCGAGTAGCTCTTTCAGGTTCAGGGTGTGACTTAAGCTTGAAGGGATGTTTGCTTCTGATATGAACATTTCTCTTATACTTTTATTATAGAAGATGATGTGTCAAATGTACAAATAATGTGTGCCTGGTGCCAGAAAGTGGGGATCAAGCGCTATTCCCTGAGTATGGGAAGTGAGGTGAAAAGCTTCTGCAGCGAGAAGTGCTTTGCCGCCTGCCGACGAGCCTACTTCAAGAGAAATAAGGTAAGAGCACGTAGAGAGGCGGCCCGCAGCCTCCCCCGCCCACGTGCGCATGTGCCTCTTAGCCTCTAGCTGGAAACACTGTGCACCTTTTATTCTTTCTGTTTTATTTTTATTTTTTTTCTGTTCTCTTTCTCTGTCATACTTAACCTTTTGGGATAAGGGATCCCCTTCTAATGTATGTAATAACCTGTTCTTCAGTGTCTCTGGTCTTGGTGTTTGAATTCTGAGAGGGTGAATGAATCTGATGAGGACACGGTGATGGCAGCTGGTACCCTAAGTGACAAGGACTCCCCAGCAGTAGAACACGCAAACTAGGATCTGGCAGGCTAAGTGGTAGGGATTCCTGAGGAGCTAGCCACAGGCCATGCATGGCCAGGAAGCTTCAGTGCACTCAGTTTCCTGGCTCCCAATGGGACTATTGCTCTGGCTCTTTCCAAAATCCAACCCACAAATTCTAATCAAGAAACATGTCAAGTCTCTCTTGACACCTTATATTAAAGTTGATTGATATTGAGAAAAGGTGAAAGAATGAATTCATGAACCAGCATTGCTCATATAGCCAAGCATTGAGAGGCATGGTGTCAACACAGGAATGGCCATAGTCATAGTTTTGTGGTTTTTGTTTTTTTGTTATGTTTTGTTTATTTTAAGACATCTCAGATTTGAAAATGTCCCTTTAAAGAACAGGATTAGCCACCACTGATGGGAAATGGAATGCATGATGGTTTTACAATCCCCCACATACATGTACACACACAGCTAATTTCTTAATCTTTAAAGAACTTCTATAGCATTTTGCCACCAATCACTGAAGTAAATTGCTAGTTCTTGATTATTTCCATTGATCTGTAAAGCTTCCTTAATTCATAAAACGGTCCACACTTTGCTGAGCATTTCCATTTCCATAATACAAGAAAGAGCAAAACCTGTCCTTTCTATAAGCAAATACAATAGTAATTATTTTTTAAGTCTGATATTCGCAATCCTGAAATGCTCATCTCGGGCTCATTGCATTACAAGGAGCACTGTTGCAGCAAATTATCTCCTGCAATTTTGGGTCACATCATTCTGCCAAAAAACATAACGCTGAGAGAATTAGGCTGCAGAATCCAGTAGGGTGGAATTTAGTAGCAGCCTCTAAGAATTAGGCTCATAATCTTCCCTGGGACAGGAAGGCAAGGAAGGAAACTGCAGTTCTTTTGGAACAGTCACAGTCAAGTTCACTTTCCCTTGTGTGGTAGGAGGGGCAGTGAAGCTTCAGAAGAGGGTGGTAAGAGCAATGCGTGGAGACATGGTTTGCTTTAATATACGGGGATGCAATGATCTCTGAGACCCTGGGCCCACCCTTCCGAATGCTGAGCGCTGGGGTAACAATCACAGGAACAGCCCCAGCGCTTCAGTCTTCAAAGCCCTGCTTACCACAACAAAATACTTGGCATTCCACCCTGGAAGATGGCTAGACAACAGGTTTTCTTTTTGTCTTTCTATGGTTCTGAAAGGTTATGGGTCTGAATCTTGATGGACTGCCTGTAGTGAATACAATCCAGCAAGATGAACTTGTTACAATCCTGGCGATACTTGTTATATTTTGCAAAGTGGTTTCACTTTAGTGAGCCTTTGAAGGAAGACACCTGACCCAATTGGAAAACAACTTAGACTAATCTACCTATATCTATATATCTACATATATACTTATATATACAATTATATGTGTGTGTGTAGAATATGAATATATATATTCTACACATATATATAGGTCTACATAGGTCTAAACATAGCTATATAAAATACCATATATAATAATACCATATGTAAATTTAAATAACTGTAAGTCATATGTAATATTACATCATTATAAAGTTTAAGGTCAACCTTCCATAGCATACGGTTTTGAAAACCGGGCAACTGGGGACCGAGATAAGAGTTAGCACGTGGGATACTTAGTCTGCTGCAGGGTTGTCCGAGAAGGCCTCTGAGCAGCCTGCAAGACCTGGGTGCCACCCTGGCTTGAAGTTTGCCGGCTGATCCCAGCAGCCCATTAGTGTACACATACCATGCCTGTCTTCTCCGCAGTCTTCATGCTTATTTATGTATCAAAAGCTCTGCCACACTATAGACGTTCTCGTTTTTCAAATAGAGAAATAAACCGGTCACATCACTTGCTGGGTTCTTTTTTTTATTTTTTATTTTAAGAGTGTTATCTCTGTAACAATATCCTCTTGTATTACAATAAACATGTACAGCTGCTGCATTTCTGTGAACTGATAGGATTTTGTGGTCATTTCATTTAGGGCTTGGGTTTCTTAATGGATTGTATTGGATCCCAGGCTCCATCCTGCCGTTTCTAAGAAGTGCTGTCATCAGCCCCAGGGTGTTCCCCACCGAAGACAATAGCAAACAGTTACTTCTCTTGTATCATTGAACAAAGTCTCTGGTCCAAATTATTAGAATGGCGGACTTCCTTAATCATAGAAAAAGGGCAAAAATTCTCCCATTCCTTCATAAAAGGTTTTCTGGCTAAACGCTACACTTTTAAATATTGAGAAGTGGATGGAAAACAGAGTGAGCGATGTGTGTGCAGAACAGAATTTTGCCTTAGGTATGATGTAGATTAAAAAAAAAAAAACCCACACACACAACCATGTAAAATTAACTATGCTGTAAATTATGCTTTATAATGACAGCCCGATTCTTAGCGGATAGCATGCTGGGATCTAAAAATGGTCTCTAAGTTGAACCCAAATTGCATGCATAACTTCACAAAGGAAAATCCTTGTGAAAAAGGTAGCTAATTAGGAGCAGTATTCAACTGACCTCTGTTTTGTGTCTGTGCAACACCTGCATTTGTGAATGTAAATTGGACAGCTGTGCCCGTGTTTTCCCTGCTCTCCTCTTCTCAGATGCTTGGGGGGTAGAAGCAGGAGCTGATTTTTCTTCTAAAAACAAGGACAAAAATAACCCAACTCTCAAAATGAAGGCCCCCTGAAAATTGACTCTTTAAATTTATCACTTGCTTCTCGAACCTTCTTCCTCTTTGATGGAGTAGTATAAGAATGTCACATCCCTCTCATACATACTCTGGCACTGTGAAGTAAGGTGGGATGGACTGAGGTCAAAGTAACCCTTTATGGCATGCAGCTGATATTTTTAAACCAAATTAGTTTTATATGAAGAGTTGTTTGGATTGCTACAAGAATGTAGGCTGTCTTCAGAATGCTTCTTCTAGGGGAGGACTGTGAGTCACAGCTGTGTTCATATCATGAGCCCAACTACCAGCGTATACAGTTCAGGATGTCAGCTCTAAGACATGTACAGTGTTAATTAATAATTGTATTTTGCGGAGTCCTTATTCCAAACAGGCTCACTTGCTGCCTCAAAAGTTTTTGAAGCAGTGGGTATGAAAAATAGTTTTGTAGTCTGTGGGCATTGGCTGAACAATGGGATGTCAGCTCATTACTAGATGCACTAGAGACTTATCATGGAACTAATAGCTCACGCTTTTCCCAGCCCCCCTTTGAGACACAAGTAGAGAAGGAATTGGGAACATTTCTAGATAGCTTAGTGATTCACCGAGGAGCTGGCAAGTTGCAGGGACTTCTTGGTGGTTTTGCAGGAGATGCTGAAGTGTTTAGTCCAACTAATGCAGGTTTTACTTTCTACCATAACACACACTTAAAACTGTTCTTTACTAAGGGAGTAATGTCTTGTAAACATTATCCCTTGAAGAGCGAGAGTAACAAACAGGACTACAAATAGTAATCATTTCTAAATATCCCGTGTTTGTGTTTTTCCTTCTGCATGGGAAATGTCCTGTTGTTTAAATCAAGCAGGAAATCAAAACTCAAGACAGATGGTTTGTGCAGGCAATGTCAAGGATGATTGTTTTCTGTCCTTGTTCAGATCTAAAGTCTATATAGCATTCTCTTAAAAAAAAAAAAGTATTTTTATTGATTTCAGAGGGAGAGAGAGATAGAAACATCAATGATGAGAGAGAATTATTGATCAGCTGCTTCCTGCACACCTCACACTGAATCCCAGGTGTGTGCCTTGGCCGAAATTGAACCTGGGACCCTTCAGTCTGCAGGCTGATGCTTTATCCACTGAGCCAAACCAGCTAGAGCTATAGCATTCTTTATGGATTAGGGGCATTGGTACTTCAGTCATAAACACAAATTCCTAAGAGCACTAAAATTTTGCTTCCTTCTTCTAGTTTTTATATAATTTGAGACAAGAATATGTAGAAATATTTCTTCAATATCATAATGTTGCTGTTTTCCCAACAAACAGTAGTGGGAAGAAACCTATGCGAATAAGAGATAAGGATAAGGATAAATCTTACTAATAAGAGCCTAGGTGGTCCTCACGCCATCACAAGATGACTGCATGCCCAGTGGAGGTGAGGTTCCCACGGCCGCGTGCGTGCCATGGAGGTGGGGTCCCAGAGGCCACTCTTCACGGCTCCTGCCAGGGTTCCTGTGGGGGCCCCCCCCCTCTTGTGCACTGTTCTCCTGCACTGTGAGAGGACACAGGCCAAGCTGGGGGACCCTCCCTCCCGCCCCCGAGTGCACAAATTTTATGCACTGGGCCTCTAGAAAAAAAAAAATAATAAAAAGATTATATAAACAAACAACATTTGCAGATGATGTCATTAAGATCTCCTAACAATCATGATAATAGTATCCAGTGATGGAAATATTGTATAAGCAGCATTTCTTTTACTTTAAAACTATATCCCTGGATACACAGCAATCTCTTCTTCTTAGATGAGCTCTCTTTTGGAAGAATCTGTAGCTAGTTAACATGTATCATCCTATTAGTTGGAGTTACGTTTTATTTAGACTTTTATTACACTTGAATATATCCTGGGAAAGATTCTCAGGTTCAGAGGTAATTATAGAACCTACTAGTGATGAAGAAATTGCAACAATTGCCCTGTTAATCTAGTGATTAACCTGTCCACTTTTTTTTCCTTTAAACACCTGCAAGATTTAATTTGCAAG